TAATTATTTTATTTATTTATGTTGCAAAGATTATATACATTCTAATATGTAATTTAAACATTTAGATATTATCAAGTTTCTATTAATGAGCTTATAAAATATATAAAAAGTATTGAAGATGATGAAATTTTACAAAATTTACTTTCTACAATTAAAAAATTTACTGGAATTGAAGAAACTACACAACTTTATGCAATTAAAAAATTACTGGAGTTAAAGACTCAAATGAAGACACTGTACTTTATGCATTCAAAAAAGTTAATGAATCTAAAGACTTAAAGAAAGATATCACACTTCATGCAAAAGAAATTATTAAAGGTAATATTTTAAATAAAGGCAGTACTAAAGACTGGAGCTATAATGACATGGCACCAGTTGAAAACAACATGGCACTAGATGAAAATTAGTCAATCATAATTTAAGATATAAATAAGCTATAATATAAATTTGATATTAATTAACATATGGATATAATCATAATTATTTTTGATTTTTTTTTGATTTCATAAGCTTTTTCATTTTAAGAGTCTTTACAGAATTTTTTTATGAAGATTGTCCTAATAAAACATTTCATATATTTGAATATTCTAATGTCAAAAAAGTATATTTTGTAATTATCATTATATAAATTTTGATATCTAGTGATGATGTTTCAATTTTTTTAAAACCTAATTCAAAATTATAATCATCATCATTACTATCATCAATATTGCTGCCGGTTCTATTCTTGGTGTGTGACTTGATCTTTGGCTTATATTTATTGTATAACCTTTTTAATTACTTAAGAATATCCAGTATATTTAGATGTAATTCAAGCTTTGGATTCCAAGCTATTAAAGGTATTAAAAATTTGATTTATTTAGTAAATCCTATTTAACTTATTAATATATGCAATAAACTATATTATTACCCACATAAATTATTTTTTTAACTTGCTTGTGAATTTCATCTGATTCATTAAAATTCAAACTCTCTCGTTGACCGTTAATGATATGCTGAGAAATTTTATCATAATCTTTATCAAATTTTTTCAAATATAGAACTTGTTCAAATGCAAGTTTCCAAAGAAGCTATAAATTTCACATTTAGCTGTATAGAATGCACAAATGCAATATCGTAGCTCATGTTCTTTAAATAGGTTAAAAAGTAAACACACAGATTGGCTTTCACGACCTTAAAAGAACCATTGTCGTTCACATTCGCAGGTGTTCTTGAATGCACTATTGAAAATTTTCCTGACAGTTTCTGCGATCATTTTACGTGTTTCATTATTGAAAATCATATTCCCGTGAAAATATTTTAATTGATCAATATAATTTTTATTATTTATCTTCCTGAATGTGAGCTTGAAAAAATTTTTTGGATTAGCACTCGCGTTTGCAGCTTTATTCAGATATTTAAACATTAACTTGTCGATTTCTTCCTGTGTTAACTTGATCAATATTTCCTGATATCAATCATCCTCTTTTGGACCTTGATATTCTTTACATCAAGGTGTAGCTTGCAATAAAAGTTTAAAGATTTTTTATTGTAAATGGTAACAACGCTGTCCTTTTCACAAACGTTAAGAATATTTTGTGGATTATATCTTCAAAGGATAGTTGTAAATTCTTGAATCTTATCTGATTGGTACCTAAACTATGAATCATTAATCGGATCAATGGTGATGGTAACATCTGTCAAAAGCTCCATATGAGATACATGCTCGTGATCCTTAACCAGGATGGATAAGATGTTGATGTTATTATATTTCAAATTTATCTTTAAATTCTTGTAGTTATTCTCGTTAAGAGCTATTTTCGTGTAAATCCATAAATATAATTATGTTGTTAAATAGTTTTATTAAAATAATTTTTTAGTTAATGCTAATTTAAATGATATAAATTTTTTGTGTAAATGTATAGTCTAATAACGCCTCAAAACGTTATCTTGGGATAATTGACAACTACACGATAAATTTATTTTATTCTATAGTCTGTTAATAGAAATTGATTTGATGAGTCTGTGGATAATCAAATAATACTTTGTTTTCTTTAGAATAAGTTTTTTGATTATTATTTATTTCATTTGATTCTTCAGAATAAGTTTTCTGGACATTTTATTTATTTCACTTGACTTTTCACTTAACTCAGCATTATT